GTATTGGATTTCTCTCCTTACTTATTAACTTTTGTTGCTTTAGGACTTGATTTGCTAGTGTCAATGATCGATTTAATGAATTTCTCTCTTTCACAAATGGGTTTTTATATATTTTCCTAATTTTCTCTTTTAGGTCCGCTTAATTTGTGTTATTTGTTAATGCGAGTGGTTAAATTTTAGTTGATTATTTCTTTTCGTTCTAATTTTATGGGTGTAGAAATCCGATATTCGGATTTGGCAAAAGCATTTAAGGATTGAAGGCTAAATGTCTATAAGTTTTGTAATGTCAAACAAAATTTAGTTTTGATTGATTTATTGTTCTATGATTTCATGATTTTTTGCCCATGTTTGCCTCTGTATTGCTTCATTTTTTCTAGTAAATTTATCACTCGTCAGCTCTATCATTATGAGTGGTAGTAATGGCAAGTGAAATTTTATCTTGTGGTGTGCACCCATGAATGACAATGCTAAGGGTTTTTGAAAATGAAATAAGTTTCTTGGGTGGGTTAATGGGAAATAAAATCCTTTTCTTGCTGGATGCAAAACTTGACTTAGCGAATAATATTCTACTTATTGCTAAATCATGCTTCCACTGTATAAATATTATGATTAAAATTGAGGATTTTTGAATTAACTATAAGAATGTCATTACGTGAGATCCCGACACCTTCTATCCACTTGAAAAGCAACTATGAGTGATTTAGTTGAAGAGTTCTTCCAACCACATCAATCTATGACAATTCTACATGAACTTAATTTGGAGAATATGGTCCAAACCAATGCCTTCTACTTAGTCAACTCTAAACTTTCCCTTTCATGATTGCTCCTTATAGTGCCATGCCTTGGTACTTACCGTACCTAACTCACCTAATGTAGAAAAGTAAGTGTTTTTGCTACTTTTTTTAGCTTACCCAAATTCAATATTAAGCTCAAGAATATTATTGTCTATTATGATAGTTGTATTGCTCGAAATAGATCCAGCATGGGATCGCAACAAGTGGGAAATCTAGAGCCAAGCCTTAAAGGAGCACCCTAAAGATTCTAAAGATGAAACTAAATCTGAATGTTACACCTCTTATTCTATGTAATTGGATTTATAATCCGATGAACTAAAAACTATGCCATACAGCGCTAATACGGTACCATACCTTACCATAGGATTGCAACAAGATACTTTCTTCTTCATTTGTCTCTTATATTTCCATTATCTATGTAAATTGTAGTTTTAAATACTATGTCTAATAAAACTTATAAGAGTTTATATCATTGGAAACATTGTGTTCTATTCTGAAGCACGACAAAAACAAGAATCAAAATCTTTTTGAATGCTTGAACCAGTGCACCAAATGTATCTTTTTGATCAGTATTCATCATTTAATGATTATCTAGAGAACTTCTCAAGTAGTGTGGGAAGGGAAAATTAGATATGATAGCTCTAATTACGAAAATCTTCATCTAAGTCCATATCCGATTTCTAACTCATGATTTCTTAATTTTATTGCTATAAAGTATAAACAATTAACTACCGCAATAACATTCTTTCTTAGAAAATATAATTTGAGCTTAGTGCATGGATTCTACAAAAGTGGCTAAGAATGAAGAGTGAGCCACCGGAATCAATTCAAACCAATTTCCTTTGGTTTTGTATCCAATAATCATCTAACCATATGCTTGGATGTGATGTAACATTGCCGACCACATATGTTTTGTAGGAGAAACCTAGGTTGGAGGTGTATTTTTATATGAAAGTGGGATACTTAAATCTATACTTCGATTATCAAATCAAAACCTTGACTAACTTGTTGTGCCCTTTTGTGCTCGTATTAAACTTGATATTATCACTAATGATAGGATGTCATGCATTCTATCATTAGATCCGAGATTAAAAAAAAATGTAAAAAACATATACTCGATAAAATCGTAGCATGGTGCCAACTCCCTTTTTCTAAAGATTTATAGGGTTTTTTTTTATTCTCCTTATTGCTATACTTTTTTAGTGGTTGAATTTTCTTAAAGAAATGCTTGATTACAACTTGAAAGGTTTCTTATTATTATTATCTTTTTTATGTGTTATGTAGATTCTAATTCATAATAATAATTGATTCAAGTTATAGATAATAGTTGGATGACTCTTCCAAGAATTAGTGAAGCGTATATGAATGGAGTTGATGATTTTTGGAACAAGGCATTTCGGATAGCAGACTAAGGGAAAGAGATTCTTTGCCTTTGCAAATAGTGCGACATTCGTTATTGGGAGTATAAAATGATTGTGCATGATAATTTGATTCGGATGGGTGTCTTGAAGGGTATAATGAATGGGTTTTTCATGGAAAGGGGTTATCATCAAGAATGCATAATAAAGATTGTCCCATTGATGAAGTGGGATTAGAAAATGTTGATGACATGGATGGCATGCTACATGATGTTTATAGAAATGTTATCGAAGATGTTGGCAACACTTAAGGAGTTCGACGAGTGCCATTGATGAAGTTGGATTAGAAAATGTTGATGACATGGATGGCATGTTGCATGATGTTTTAGAAATGTTATCGAAGGAGTTGCTAAAATTGAAGGAGTTCAAGAAAGCCCAACTAAGGTGGCTAAGAAATTTTATAAGTTGGTAGAGGAAGGAAAACAGGAGTTGTATTTGGGGTTTAAGAATTTCTCAAGACTTTCTTTCACCATTTAGTTATACCTTTTTAAGTGCCTCAATGGACTTAGTAATGTTGCATTTGGTGATGTTTTGGAGTTACTGAAAGAGGCTTTTCCTGAAGCAAAACTTTCAGAATCTTTCAACAAAGCAAGAAAAACAATTAGAGGTTTAGGTCTTGATTACCAAAAAATTCATGCATGCCTAAATAGCAACATGTTATTCTTGAATGAGCATGAAAATGCTACTTTTTGTCATATTTATGGTGCATCTAGGTATATGTTGGATGAAAATTTTTAAGGAGATATCAATAGCCATTCAACTAGTACTTACCAAATCCTAGCTAAGGTGTTAAGATACTTTCCTTTGACACATATGCTTCAAAGGTTATTCATGTGTGAAGAAATAGCTACGGTAATGACATGGCATTCAACAGAGCATCCAAATGGTGGAAATCTAAGACATCCTACTCGATGAGAAAGCTTGGAAGGATTTTGATTATCTTCACCCTATGTTGGCACAAGAATGCCAAAATGTGAGATTGGGTCTTGCTATTGATGGATTCAATCCATTACAAAGTATGAGCATTTCTCATAGCGGTTGGCCAATAGTGTTAATAAATTATAACTTGTTGCCATGGATTTACATAAAGCTCGAATATTGTTTCTTATCTATGATAATTCCAAGCTCTAAATCTCCTGAAAAAGACATTGATGTCTTCATATAGCCACTAATTCAAGAACTAAAGAATTTATAGGAGGTTGATGTTAATACTTATGACACTTCAAGAAACCAAAATTTTTGCATGCATCCAGCCTTGTTGTGGATAATTAGTGATTTCCAGCCTATGCAATGCTATCTAGACGAAGCACTCAAGGGAAGTTGACATGCCATTAATGCAATTATGACACTTACTCCCAATATCCGAAATATAGTAGGTAGACATGTTAGATGGGTTAGTAGAGATTTTGAGATAAGCATCATTCATGGTGATTTGATAAAAAAATGTTTCAATATAGATGTGGAGTTGAGAGGGGAATTGATTTCTTTATCATGGGCTAAAATTTTGGATAAGTTGTCTAATTTCAATAATGTGTATGGGAAAACACAAAAGAAGAAGATGACAAAGAGTGATGATCCATGGAGGAAAAAGTCTATCTTTTTTGTGTTACCATAGTTGAAGCATAATACATTACACCATAATTTAGATGTATTGCAGATTGAGAAACATATATGTGATAATGTGTTGGGGAAATTGTGAGATATTCTTGGTAAAAAATAAGATCATTTAAATGTACAATATGATCTATAAGATATGGGTATAAGGAAGGAGCTTCAACCTTTTTAGTTGAATGAGGATGGGAAGATTGGGCTAGCTAAAGCTTTTTTTCTATGACCCCCAAAGAGAAAATACTATTTTGTATAATATTGAAGAAAGCAAAATTACCACAAGGGTGTGCATCAACTATTGCATGATGTGTACAAGTTAGGGATAAAACTTTTTCAAGCTATAAGAGCCATGATGCTTATTTTATCATGCATTATTTGCTTCAAGTTCGTTGTAAGAAAAACATTACCAAACAATGTTGCAATTGCCTTAATTCAATTGGGTGATTTTTTTAACGGTATATGCGAGTAAAGTAGTAGTAAAGCTACAAAGCTTGAGTAGTTACAACAAGAAATTATTGAGACTCTTTATCGACTTGAAATGAATTTTCTTCCTATTTTTATTTTTATTTTTATATAATAGTGCATTTGCCTATCCATTTAGCATCCGAAATTAAACTTGGTGGTCCGATGCATTGTCGTTAGATGTATCTAATTGAGTGAGACTTACGTAAGTTAAAGTCGATTGTTCGCAATTGAAGTTGTCCGGAAGGATCCATAGCAAAGGGTATTTGGTCGAGGAATGTTTAATTTTTTGCTCAAGATATATGCACGATAATGTTAAGGCAAGATTTCATAGATATTGAAATAATGATGATATAGTCATAATTAGTGAAGAATCATTATTTATTTTTCCTAAGATAGGCCACTCCATAGGGGAAAAGAGAAAGAGGAAAGGCAAACCATTCACTTTAGACTATCAATCTTTAGCACAAGCACATCGTTACGCCTTGTTCAATTATTGAGAAAAATGTGTTGAAAATTATATCGAGTAAGAAAATTTCATTAGTGTTTAATCTAGTTTCTTTTTATTGTTTCATTGGTTGAACATGTGTGATGATGTGTATGGTGATCCTTTCAATGTAGAGAGCACCAAAATTTCGTTAACAATCAAGGTAGATCAAGTAGATGGGCAAGAGCATAAAACCATAGCCAAGATTTTATATTTTGATTTGAAGAAAAAATGTTGAATGAGCAAGTGCCAAACTACACGTTGTGGTTGTCTAAAGGAAAAAATCCTATGGGAAAGAGATATACTGGGTATTTTATAAATGGATATCATTTTAACACTAGGAAACACGATGTAAGATGCAAAACACAAAATAGTGGAGTCACTTTATAGGCATTAACTCTTAGCTTTGCAAGTGCTAAGGACCAAAATCCTATTGTTGGAGATGTCGGATACTATGGATCAATAGATGAAATAGTTGAAATTGATTATTGGGGCTATTTTAGTGCTGTATTATTTTGGGATGTTTGGTTTCAAGTTGAGAGAGATGAAGATGGGCTTACTTTTGTAAACTTTAACAAGTCATGTTACTTGAATAATCCTTTTGTTATTGCTTCTTAAGTGCATCAAGTTTTTTACGTTGAAGATCCTATTGTAGAAGGCCTTCATTATGTTATGAAAAAGGTTCCTAGAGATTTATTTGACCTTCAACAATCCAACTATTCGACAATTCAAGATGCTTTCCGGGGAGAACATAATGACTTTAACAATATTATGTGTGCTATATGTGATGACGGCCCTATTAGATGGGCTAGAGAAGATGCACCTACCGAAACTCTACATGTGCCTTCATATATCTTAGAAGCTCAACAAACAAATGTTGTAGTAGAAGAGGATTCTGATATAGATGATACTGATTGGGATTGGATGGATGATACTAATTAGACTATTAACTTGCTTTAAGTGTATATGTATGCTGATTTCTTCTTGTATCGAAATCCAATTATACAATGTTCGTCGAAGCATCCTTTGTATGCTTGTTTTGTGATGTTTTCTACTCGCATCTATTGTAAATTTTTGTTGAACATGGATTCAATGATGATAAATTTAAGTGTAATGACTTTGAAGTTTATAAATCGGTAAAGTTATTACAATAAGAAATGAATTTGAGTATCATATGTTTTGAGTGATAAACTATTCTAGCAGATCTTCTATTATTTTCTTTTGAGCTCGTTATCTTTGTTGTGTTGAAGGCATGTAATCAATGCCTCTCAAGTTTGAAAGAGTAGTACATTCTTACATAACATAAAAGTAGGGTCTCATTGACCTCCATACTCATAGGGAAAGTTCCAGTTTGTATTTAAATTCGAGTATGCTCGTAATGGTCAACCAAATTAGTCTTTCTTGTAACTCATTCTCTATGTCCATAACGACATTAATACTCGAATGTCCTCTCATGACAAGCATCATGAAATAAGGAAATTAGCTACCTTTACAATACCATATCGGACCCAACCACCAATTTACCGTTCCTAGGTAATTTACCATTAGACTAAACATACTTAGAATGAGCAAGTAGCATCTAGCTTTAGTTGGTTAATGATAGTCTTAAGACTACGACCTTGGTACCAAAATGATACCACCAAGGGTAGAATATAAGTGGATATTATACACACTTGAATAGCTCATTGATTTAGATCGCTCACTCCCTTTATGAAGTGCATTTATGAGAAGGAGTACGAGTTTAGTCATAGAGAAAATAGGTCCATTATGTTAGTTTTGCATATTGTCTAGATATCGTATCGATTTTTCTTCTTCTTCTTCTTCTTTTACTCGTTTTGTGTTTCATTAATTAATGATATATGAAAACCGATATTGCCTACCTAAACCGATATTTCATTTCTTTTTTGTGTTTTGTGTTTAGAGGTTATAGCATTTCGAATAGAAAACCCGTAAACAAGCCTCGGATGTGACAAAGGTAGTGAATAAGGTAGACTTCAATATTACTCGCTATAGCTTTAACCATGTAAGCTTAACGGGTAAATGAATGCATGCCTTTTTAAATATGATTTTTTATGGAAGTTCTTGTACAAGAGTAGTTGGTCATTCTTGGGTCGGCTTGCTTTTACTCTTTTATTCATTGATTACTCGCTACTTTAAATAGGTCACTTGGCCACAATTCTGATTGGTTTAGTTAAAAAGGGAGCAAGAAATGATTAATGAATAACTCGGATAAGGATTTCTATTTGTCTTAGTGGGGAACATGAAGGTCCGTCTTGCTAAATCTCGGTATTATCTTGAGTCAATATGCTTTGTTGCTCGTTTTGTGGACTCTTTGTGTATTTCGTCTAATTAAGGAGAGGATAAGACCTTTTGCTTTTAGGAATGGTGGGTGATCAATATTTGTTACAAGTTGATCGAGAAACCAATTCCAAAGTGGGTAAATCGACTAGCAAAAATAGGTATGCTTTATCATATAACCATTTACCAAGTAAAGGATTTAAAACTTATTGCATGAAATCATTAACGTGAAAACATCTAGATTTATCCAACCGAAAGTTCCAAATATAAAGTAATTTTCCTTTTAAATATCAATTTGAAACCTTACTAGAACTTAAATTGGCTCTGTTTGTGAGTTGGAGAAAAGAAAGAGGAAATCTCAAAAATTTACTTTAGTCTTTTAGTTTCTACTATATTAGCCTAAGATGCATGCGCTTTCTTTATGTCAAACTCGTATATCCCCTCCAACCTTCAAGCATCGATAATTTCGTCGTGGAATCACCTTGCTATGGTAGAAAAAAAATGGTAGGAAGGACTTTGCATACATGACATATAAACCAAATGGATAATCATCACTAATTTTCGAAAGAAGCTGAAAAGATGAAATGTTATCACGACAGTAAAGTAGAATGCTCTAGAAAAGCATGGAAAAGAAAATCTTCCTTTGACGAGAAAAAAGCAAAGGTACCGACTCCTCTTCGGATCATTCCTACTCATATTTAATTTGTACCCTACCTATACGTAAAGTCAAGAGAGAAACAAAATAAAAAATGACTATATGCAAATAATATTTCCCGACACAACGACACTTATGCTACTTTTAATTAGCTCAAGAAAATTGGAAACTTTAATTACGTCAATCTTTTATTTTTCTTTTTTATTGTTACTTTTTTTTTAGGTTTTTAAATGTTTTCTCGAGATCTAATTAAAAAGTAAACTAAGGATTTGGAGGATTTTCTTTTTTTAAAAATAAAACTATGAGAGTAACATTGTGAAATATTGAACTACAGAGATAAAAATGGAACATTGATGAATCTATAAGGATAAAAATATTGATTATCCCTAACTTTAAATATCCTTTTGCATCATAAGCAATTAAGCATGCCTAAGTTGAGTGTCCCTTTGACGTTGGTAAAAACAAAAATGTTAGCAACTTTATAAATTTTTGATGATCAAATATTGGCATAGGTAAGGCTAATCAAATTAAGTATATTCCAATAAATCAAGCATTGGAGTGAATGTTGTTTAGTCACCACATGTGGATCGCATAAATTCTTGTGAAAGCTATACGTAGTACTTGGCGATATATATATATATAGTTGATTCCAATTAAATGTATTCCAATATAACGAGTTCTTTTTATACATGTTAGGCTTCAGTTATACTTTACGATAGGATTTGTAATGTTGTATGCTCGTTATTACAACACCGGTGAGTGATTTCGTACATCACCTTCTCTAGTTTTCTAAATTTTATTGTATTAATCGACCTAATGCTTTGTAGATAAAAGTTAATTCTCTATTAGTCGTCCATTCCGTGTCAAAGCAAGTAAATCCTCCAACAATGTTAGTCACCGCAAGTAAATCCTCGCAAAAAAGATTAAGTAACGAGCTTAATGTCGGTTCTAACAAGCTTTATGTATAATCTGTTACTTGGTCAAAAGACTTGGAACCATTGAAATACCACTAAATAATAGGCTTGCATCTTGAGTGCAATCACAGACTCTATTTTTTTCAAGCCGAATGATTTGCATTGGATCACAATAGCTTGAGACTAAGGCACGTGCTAACAATAATGTGGAACAATTTAAGATTATGTAAAGCTAGATTGTTAGACTTGACTAGGTTTAATGGCACTAGGGTTCATGTGGTTTTGGTTTTTTTTTTGTGTTGAACTATGTTGTTCGGAAATCATTAGCATTTTTCAATGATGAAGAAACGAAAGAAATAAACTACTAAGAAGAAAAAGAGAAACAACTATTGTGTCCATTTGGATTAATTTCATCGTATTTGAAGATGCAACAACTAATAAATGGAGAGAATCAACAACCACAAGTGGAGCAAGAACAAGAGATTCAAGAAGAGGTATAGCTTCGAGAACAAGAGTAGCAAGCTATACATGAAGAAAATCGAATTATGAAATGCAAATCCGGAGAAATGCACAATTAGTAGACTTCAAAACTCCACCAAATATAGAATAAATGAATGAAACTACATAAGAAGCAGGTATAATTATGATTTCAAGTTATAATATTATGAATATCAATACAACTTACATTACATATTTTGTTATTTTTGATATAGGATCTTCAACTAAAAGAAAAAGAGGGCCAATAACAATGAAAGAAGTACATACACGGGCCATTGAAGATAGAAAGCTTATTTTTCTAAATAAAGTAAACCAATCAATAGGCCCCAATAGTAAGACTTTGAATGAGTTCAATAACTTTTTGGGAACATTGGCCCAAAATGGGAGTCATAGACCATTGAATCGAGTTAATTAGCATAAGATGCCGACTAAGGAAGCTTTATGGGAATATGTTTTTGTAGGTAACTTTAGGAATACTTTGCTTGAGGATATATATGGAGAAGTATAGTCTAGAACTTCGAATACCTTCGGTTAGATTGTTCATGCTTGTTCAAAGTGTTAGTTAAAAAAAGTTGTTTCGGTGTTGAATTAAGGATCAGTTGAATTTACTAGTAAATATCTTATCATATCCTTTATGTTATTTAATTCTTTAGGGATGGATTAGAAGATATAGATGGGTTTTAGCCCGTTTTTAGGATTTGCTAAAAGTCTTGGTTTCTCTATTTAATTTGCTTTATATTAATGTCTTGTACTTTGTTGGAACCCATTGAACTCAAGGGCCGATTGGAAAGGTCATCCTTTAAATGCATTGATGAAACAAGCTGATGTGTGGAAAATCATGATCAAGTCCATGTCCGTATAGCAGTTGACGCACTACAATTATCATCCAAAGCCTATACATGGTGTGAATTTTCTTTTTCAAATCACATTAGGAATTATATTGTGTCATCTACATCACCATCTAGTCTAATATCGTGAGGGTCATTATTAGTGTTAGGTTCGAAATTTCATAATGGTGGGTCTTAGCAAAAATGGCACCACCTGAGCAATCGCTTTTGCTAAAACATGAAACCAACATTGTCCATTGCATATCTAAACATCAATGTTGCATAGGCATGAATACTTGGGAAATCAAAGAAGTCCGACTTTGGATTGTACTCGCATTTGTGTTTCTATTGCTTTACTCCACATTAAAATTTTATGAACTTCCAATTCTGTCCAAATATAAATTTGATATGTATTAGTTCAATTTATTGAAGCGTAAGAAATATCTTCGGTTCATTAAATTTATTATGGCTAAAATTTGTTTCTTGATAGACAATAAGATACAAAGGAAAATAAAGAAGAACCAACCTATTCGAAAATGTTTATTGAAACTTGAAAAAGAAAAGTTGGACATTCTTATAAGGAATCGGATGAGGATACGAGTTACCAAGATTGTAAGAACTTTCAACATTTCATTTTTTTATATTTGCAATTTATAAAAAGAGTTTTGAATTGCTTTATCATATGCCGTATGAACTCGTATTTTTAAGGAACTAATGATTTCATTATAGGCTCAAATGCAAGAAATGGAG